TGTTTTTAGAAATTATTTCTATGGTAACCGTTTCTGTTTTGATAATCACACTATGCATTGAATGTTGTACAACCTCCCCTATAAAAATAAAGATTCATTTTTCTCGAGTCGGTCAGGCCTAGAGAGCCTGGCTGTCCTCCGGCACTCCACCGGGTGTCTCGCTCCAGTCGCTTCACCTGTGCTGTGCATCCTTTGGGGACCCTGAGACCCCCCTGAGCCTGGACCCGGGCAGGGGAACATGGACATCACTCCCACTTCACAGCAAGGTGACTGTAAGTAATCACAATAAAAGGCACAACTGGCAAATTCAGGTTGGAGGAAAAAAATGCAACTGATTCTTGGCACGTGTACAACTCAACCAGTGGGAACCACATCATGTGTGTGGCTGCTTCAGAGAGTAGCCTGTTAGTTCTGGGGTTTTAGTGGGTTTTGGTCAGTATGTTTTGCAGAGTAAATGCACAGCATCTCTCAGTATGCTGAGGTGGTCAAGCAGAGGCTGACTAGGATTACTCCTGTATCTCTGCATGGAAATATTGCAAGTTCCCTGGCTGGCGTAGCTCAGTGGATTGAGCGCGGGCTGGGAACCAAAGTGTCCCAGGTTCGATTCCCAGCCAGGGTACATTCCTGGGTTGCAGGCCATAACCCCCAGCAACTGCACATTGATGTTTCTCTCTCTCGCTCTCTCTTTCTCTCTCTCTCTCTCTCTCTCTCTCTCCCCCTCCCTTCCCTCTCTAAAAATAAATAAATAAAATATTAAAAAAAAAAAGAAATATTGCAAGTTAGGTGGAGCTTTTGCATCTGAGTGTGCCTGCCGCTTCTTTAGTTATAGTGCCCGTCCAAAGAGGGAGAGATGAGCCCGCTGTAAACACCGTCCGACTTGTCCGACTTTGGGTGTTGAGGACACCCACCCACGTTCACAGTTCAGACAAAGCTACACCTCCTTGGATTGCCTGTCAGAATCAAATGAAACTCACAAAGGACACTCTGCCCGGAAAGCCACTCTGTGCTGGCGCCATCCAGGACAATCAAATTAAATATATAAATTTAACACAATCCCAACCAAATCTTAACAGGATTGTTAAATTGGAATTTAAGAATTTGGCTTCTCTTCTGGAAAATGTTCAATAGCAGTCAAAAAAATCTGAATAAACTTATTGAGTGGGGATTCTCCCTATATGTGAAAATGTAAATGTGAACATATATAGATATAGTACAAATAGATTAGATTTAGCAATACAAAATGAAAGGGATAAAAGTAGACAAATAAATCAGTGGAATAGAATAACGTGCAGAACAGATCCAAGTACGTGTGCAAATGAAGCTTACAATAAAGAGGACATTTAAAATCTGTGAGGGAAGAGTGGCTTTTTCAGGGAACCACGTGAGATGACTGGCTAACAATCAGAGGAAAATACTAGACTGAACCTCCTGCTTCTTCATCTCAAACACGGATGGCATGCATAGTTAAACTCCTTAATTAAATTTCTTAATTAGGAAAAAATTTAAAATATTTTCAAAGCCTTTAAACTGTTATTTTTAATAATAATCCTGGGGTGGAGAATGCTTTCCTAGATAAGATACAAAACCCAGAGCCATTAAAAAAAACCCCGAAGGATTTGTTGTCATAAAATTTAAACTTCTTTTCAAAGAAATACTATAGTAAAAGTTAAAAGAAAAGGGAAAGAGTGAGAGAAAATTGTTGTATCGAATTAATATCCAGAATATATGCAGAATCTTGACCATTATTTCAATTGATGAAGGCTCTGACCAGGAATTTCAGAAAAATCCAAACCCAAAAAGGAGGAGAAGGGGGAGGAAGAAGGGAAAAAAAAAAGATACTCAAACTCGTTTCTCCTGTACCCTTTCAGAGACAGTCAGTGTGCACAAACATTGTGCCATTTTTCTCATCACTCACAAAAGGTGGCATATCACATGATCCCTCATCTTGCCTTTCTTCTTCATGTCCTGGAAACGAGCTATGTCAATGACTATCATGTATCAGTAGATGTTGGGAACTGCCCTGCCTGGTATCAGAAGCTGTAACCCCCACCAAGGCCAAGGCTGAAGGAGTGGCCTTGGACCGTAAGCCAGCAAGGAGACAAAAGTTTATTTCCCTGGCAGAAGCACTGCTTCTGCTGCTTCATTCATAACTGAACCCCAGTGCTTGGTCGGTTAGCCAATGACGGGTAAGATTCCCCAAGGGGGGAACGACCTAAGACAGGCACGATCACGTAGGAGGCCCCCAAGAAAGGACTTTGGGAGCTACAGCAAAAGGGGGTGATGGACCCTTGCTCCTCGGCTTTGACATAGCCTGAGTCCTCATCGTCGGGGAGAAAATCTCCTTATCTCCTGGTTGCCTTAGTTCCCTTGCTCCACCTAAGCCTGAAACAATGACAGGGTGGTGTAGCACTGTGCTGAAGAGGGCGGGTTCCCCAGGTGATCAGGCCTAAGAAAGAATATGTAAAATCCCGTGAAACCTGCTTTGTTTAGAATGCTCTCAGTTGAATGATAAGGGTCCAAGGAAGAAGTAAGTTTGTTCCTCAGAGTTTTACAGTTCTTTGATCCTGACTCAAAATAGGCCCTCAGACTTCCTTGTTATCTGTTGTTTGATCCTTACTTCCTAGCAATGAGTAATGAGCTTTTACCTGAATTCTTATTCAAACGAAACCAATAAGAAGCCTCTCCGGAGGGAGAACGGCGCCCTCTCCCCACCGGGGAGGGTGGCCAAGCGGCGGGCTCCCCGCGTGAGGAGTGGCCCTGCTGTTCCTATTCCCCCACAGGACCTGGTTGTCTCTGTGTATGTTTTTCTCGCATGTTGACGAACATCAGCAGCGGAGATGGATACTGCTGGCCGGTATCCTCCACAAGTACAGTAAAATCTTTATTGCAAGATACACATGGAGCACATAAAACATGTTTATCATGCTTAAAGTGAACCTTTACTATATTCCCACCCCGTGAAGAACTAACATCTACAAAGCCCCTCCTTAATGATATCACTCACCCTCTTCCCTCAAAGTAACCACCCTCTTGGCTTTTCTTTATAGTTTTACCACCTTCATGTGGATCCATAAACGACAGAGCTTCCTTTGTTTGTTCTGAGCTATACCGAATGAGATCACAGTGTTTTATTCTATGACTCCCTTGATGGATGACACTGCAGTTTGTTGTCCTGGCTGGTAGCTCAGTTGGCTAGAACTTCATCCCTATACGCCAAGGTTGAAGGTTTGATCCTGGTCAGGGCACATCCCAGGAATGAACCAACGAATGTGTAAATAAGGGGAACAACACATCAGTGTTTCTCTAAAATCAATCGATAAAAGAATTAAAACACTTCAGCTGGTTGACATGTGTGGCTATGTTTAATTTTTTGTCATTGCTGCATAGCACTCTTGTGAGAATATAGTAGCACTAGTTTTTAGTGACTTTTGGGTTGTCTCCAGTTTGGGGTAATTATGTTGCTATGAAAGATTCTGCACCTCTCCTGATCTAGGGCAACCATTTTTAGAGAGGTCAGTGAACCCTCTGGGGTTCCCTGGGAACTTATCAAGGACCTTATTTATCATGGAAGTTAAAACCATTCTGTTCCGATGCTAGGATGTAATGTGCTCCTTTTGCTCTGCGGACACTGCAGCAATGGTACCAAGGCAATGAGTAAAACTTCAATGAGAATCAAATCGATGGCTCCCAACTGTACAGAAAGTCATTTTTGGCCAACCAAGTATATAATTGTATCTCATTTTTGTTTTAATTAGCATACCCTTCATTACTAACAGGAATGAATTTTTCACATTTATAGACCATTTGCATTAACTCTTACAAAATGTCAGTTCAAATCTTTTCCCCATTTTTAACATGATAGTTTGTCTTTTTTACATTGTGAGGTGGTCTTTAAGTTTTTACTTATTGATTTTACAGAGAGGGAGAGAGAGGAAGGTAGAGAAACATCGGTTTGTTGTTCCACTGATTTACGCATTCTTTGGTTGTTCCTTGTGCCCTGACGGCGGACGGTACCCACAAGCTGGGTGTGCTGGGACACCGCTCTAACCCACCCAGCTGCCTGGCCGGGGCACGAGATGTTCTTTATAACATGTTCTTTAAGTCAGTTGCATGTGACACCGATTTTTCTCCACTTTCTTATGTTGTCTTTTTCACTTTTAATGGTGTCTTTCACTGAAGTTTTACACTTCAATATGGTCAAATTCATCACTTTCCCTGTTTTGAGCTTCTGTGTGACTGCACTGACTAGAATATCAAGTATGTCAAGTACAATCAAGAAATGAAATTGTAACAGCAGGCATCTTTATCTTGTTCGTGATCTCAAGGAGGGAATGTTTCAACACTTCCTTTAAAAAGAAAAAAAAAAAAAAAAAGGAAGCTGTGGCCAGGCAGCTGGGCACTATAGCATCATGCCACCACACCACAGCTGTGGTTCAGTCCCTGGGAACCAATGAATGCAAATAGGTGGGACAAACCAATGTTTCTCCCTCCCTCCCTCCCTCTAAAAAAAAAAATCAGTAAAATATATTTTGAAAAGTTTCGAGCACTCTCTCTGGGGCACGCCCTCAACCCCCCCCCCCCCACACACCCGCAGGCACCTCACCTTTGCCCTCTCCCTCCCGGGCTCCGAGGGCCCTTCTCCAGCCTCTGTGTCTCGTTGCCTGAGCCTACGCAGCCCGGCTGGCTCACTTCTACGACCTCTGTGACTTTCTCAATAAACGTCCTCTTATCATTTCAGAAGTAAAACTTTGATGATAGTTAAGAGAATTCATTTGCTTTAACTTTGATTATAGTTTGTAAAGTTCTGCTGTAGAACTTTTCCATAGATACCCTTAAATCCTAAGATTAAGGAGCTTGTGCAGACTTGCTGCCGGCCAGCCGGATGGGACGAAGTGGCGGTAGAGGCCGGGTGTGGGTGGCAGTGAACAGTGTTACCATGTCTCACAGACACTGTAAGTCCACCTTGAGTACTCTGTTTTTTAAAGAATAAGAGTGTAAACTGTAATTGAAGATTTTATTTATTTTTAGAGAGGTGAAGGGAAGAGAGAGGGAAAGGAACAGCAATGTACAAGAGATGCACGGATCGATTGCCTTTCGCACGTCCCCGACCTGGAACCTGGCCCGCAACCCAGGCGTGTGCCCCAGCTGGGATCGGACCAGCGACCCCTTGGCTTGCGGGCCGTCACTCAATCCATCTAGCCACACCAGCCAGGGATTGATATTCTATTTGTAAAGCCAAATAGCAGCATTCTTCTTCTACCCTCAAAAGTGAAAATCTCAGAGCAGCAGGTGAAGAAATGCACTCTCTCCCTTTGCTGCTTCTCATTCCTGGGACTCAACAAGGGGACAGACTGAGCCACAGGGGATGAGAAGCAGCAAGTGGAGAGAGTGCGCATCCTTCGCCCTGATGAGCAGAATGCTGCCCCCTGCAGACACACCAGGGACATGACTGTAAACACCACAGAGCCACAGCTAGTCTTGCTTCTCCTTAGCAGATCTATGTGTGGGAAATGAGGGCTCTTGACCTCTCCAGGGTTGGGGCTGGGGTGGACAAGAGCAGCTGCAGACAGCACAGGAGCCCAGATTCCAGTTCCGATGTTAGTTTTTATTCCCTAGGAACAAAGGTATGTGGGGGAGAAACTCCGAACGTTAACAGGAGCACAAATGACAAAATGGTACTAGGGCAGTGTGGCTCAGAGGTCAAGATGGGTATTTCACAGTGCACCTGGTCATGCCTGGTTTCTTGGATCAACATCTGCCCCATCCCCAAGTGCCCATCAGAGGTGGGGCTGGGGCAGTGAGGTGGAAAGCTTCCCCTACTCGACACAAAGGAGACGAATGTATCCGTCTATCCAAAAAGGCCTCCCAGGAACACCAAAAACTCCCTCTCAAAAATGGAGGTAGACAGGTAAGAATGAGGGGGTTTGGGTGTCACAGACAACCTGAACATAAGGGTCACAGAGGCCCTTAGTGGCAGACAGGATCTGTATTTAGGTGAGGACAGGAGGGGAGCAACAGCTAGTTTAGGGAAGAGGCGGTCACTCTTGTCAGATCAGGCCCCACGGCAGCTGGAACCTGCACTGCGGTTCCCATCCACTTCAGAGAGCTTGGTGGAGTTCCATCAGAAGCCATTACCATTTTCCCAGGGGATTCCCAGAAGCCATTATCATTTTCCCTGCTATCCTCTTTCCTGGCAAAGTCCTGTCCTGTCCTGTCCTCATACCTCCCTTTCCCTGGAGGCTTCTACCGCAGCACAGACCCCTAGGCACAAGGTCCTTTGGTGCAAGCTAGGTCATCCAGTCCCTGCAGAACACATCAACTAGGCCCTCCCTGTACCACAGAGGAGACTAGGGCTGGTTCTCGAGTCCACGTCACAGTGAGGTCTCCTGGAGGGTGAAGGTGGGGCTGCTGCCCTGGCAGACTGGGCCCTCCTCAGGCACGGCCACGGCCTCCTTGTCGCCGCAGCCCTTCAGCGTCCCATTGCTCATCTTCTCCGGGGACCCCGCGGTGTCCACAGAGGGGCCCTGGGCACAGGCAGAGCAAAGGGAGCAGACTGAGGAGCAGGACACAGGACCGGGGAAGCAGGGCACGCAGAAAAGGGGGAAGAGCCCGCTTGGACCCCAGCCAGAAGGGGGGTGGCACGAGGAGGGGAGCAGAGGAGGGGCCAGCACGCTGTGAGCCTCTCTGCACTCAGACCCTTCTGCCCGCCCAGCAGCGCTGCCCCGTGGGCAGGAGCCAGGGCAGCTGCTGCAGGATGGTCCAGGCTCAGACACACCATCAGGGACAGGGGTGCTGGGTGCGGGGAGAAAGCAGAGGGAGGGAAGGGCGCCAGGAAGGCCCTGTGGTAGTCTGGAGAGGGGAGGAGGGGGGCGATGTGACAATGTGGGTGCTACCTGGCTGTAGCTTTTGTAGTGAAGTCGCTTCCGACAGGACACAGGCAGGAGAGCACGGAGTCTCGGCAGCACTGGGTAGATGGTCCGAGGGTCCAGGGTCCGGCCCCGCATTCCCCCTGAGGGTCAAGGTGCCTGAGTCTTACTGAGTAACCAGTGTACAACCCAACAAGCCCTCTGTTCTTGGGGTTCCCACCTCCTGGAACTCAGCCCAGAAACCCGACTGTTAAAGAAACCAGGAGCCTGGAGGGTAAGGGTCAATTCTCCCTGCAATGCCCAGAGTCCCCGAGTGCCCTCCCTCGGCCCACCCTGTGTTCCCGCGACCCCATCGCACACCCTCTCACCAGTGAGGAGGCTGACAACCAGGCCCACCACAATGACCGTGGTGGAGTTGTGAGCGCTGTACCATAAATACGACAGGGAGTAGAGCCGCTGCAGCCCCGTGGGCCTGGGGAGAACAGAGCAATGAGGACGATTCTCTGACAGGGTATTCTGACCACCCGTCTCCACCCACCTGCACGGACCTACGGTCTGGAGATCCAACACCCAACATTTCCCCGAGGCTTCTGGTGGCCCATTCCCTAGCAAGCCCCCTGGGGAGTCCCTCAAAAATGAGCTATTCTCCTGAAAGAGGGACAGTGAGACCCAACTCACCTGGAGGGGGTGGTTGAGGGTATCAGCGTGGTCATGGTGATGGTGGACAGGTTGCTGGACGGGGACAAGCTGGACCCATTAAGGGGTGAGGATGCCATACCGGAGCCCATTCTGGTCACTATGCTCCCAATGCCGATCCAGAAAGCCATGATGAGGCCAGCCAGCAGGCCCACAATGGCGCCCTGCCCAAACACACAGCGCACTTTCCTGTCACGACGCCAGCCCTACCAAACTGCCACAGCAGTTCCCGGAACTCACGGTGAGAGCCCTGCCAAGCCAACCCCCAGGCCCATCTCTACACGGGGCTGTGGAGCCACAGGGGTCACTCACAGGAGGGTTGGCACAAGGAAAGAACATGCCGAGGCAGAAGAGTCCCAGCAGCGGCCCCCCCACCATGCCGAAGATGCTGATGGCCGCCTGCGGAGACAGGGTGGGAAACGAACACGCAGGCTGAGCCAGAGCCCGCCTCCTCGGCCTGGGCCCAGCACGAGGCAGGGTTCCAGGGCCGGGGGTGAGGATGGGAAAGCGCTTCGGGCTCTCCTCGGAGCTGACCTGCAGTGTCTCTGAGCCAACAATGTCCCAGGAATGATTCTGGGCCTTTTGGCTACTTGAGTCTGTTCACGGCCAGTGGCAGCCCGTCAAAGGGGAGGGAATTTCTGATACCTGTCCCTATTTTATTCCCTTCATAACAGCTGTCTTCCTCAATTCCCAGCTTCAGTCTGCTCTTTTCTCCCCCCAGAATTGCTTTTTTCCCCCCATAGTCGTTACCTACCTGCAGCACTGGTCCCATCTGGGAGGAAATATAGGCCATTCCCAGGCAAAGCAGCCCGTAGCTAAAGGCTGGGACAAAGAGGAGACAAGATGTGAGTAAACACGCTAAAGGGGGGGGGGGGGAGTAGAGCGAAGCTCCTTCCCCAGCCGGACCACTATGTCTGTGCTCCTGGACACAGGGCGCATTGCCTGACGCCCCAGCTCCAGGTCCCTCCCAGCCTGTCCGCACCCCCATCTGACTCAGAGAGCTCACCAGGCAGTACCCTGAGCAGTGGGCAAGGCAATGTGCTTCATTCAGTAACCAGCAAGTGCTGAGCCCAGGCTACAGCTGGTGCTTTAAAGAAGACTGGTGACACTGTTTGCATCTTTGAAAGAACATGACTAGGCCCTGGCTGGTGTGGCTCAGTGGACCGAGTGCCAGCCTGCGATCGGAAAGGTCACCAGTTCAGTTCCCTGTCAGAGCACATGCCTGGGTTACAGGACAGGTCCCCAGTGTGGGGGCGGGGGGGGGGGCGCACGAGAGGCAACCACACATTGATGTTTCTCCCCTTCCCTTCCCCTAATAATAAAAAAGTAAAATCTTTAAAAAGAGAAAAGAAAGAAGGAGCATGACTGAGGAGATAAGGAAGCACAATCCCACCAAGGATTCTGGAAAGCATGGTGGCCTGGACTTCTGAGAACTGCGGGAACCAGGGTCGAATCAGGTCTTCCATCGTAACAGTGGCCAGGGAATTAAAAGCGGAGGATATGGTGCTGGAAGGAGGAAGAGAAAGCCCAGTTGCGCTGAGAGAAACAAGACTGACAAGGGACCCTATTGAGGGAGCGCACCCTAAAGGCAGGGGTGACACGTGAGGCCAAGGAGCCTTCCTCACACGTGGCAGCCGAGGAAGAGGCCTGGAAGGCAAGGACACTTGTCCTTTTCTGAGTAGGGTACAGGTTTCGTTTAGTAGGTCAACTCTCCTCCTGGAGGGGACATGCTCCGTCCTACACAAATGAGCTGTCCCCTGTCACCTCCCAATGGGTGGGCACAACGAGAAATCCCTCCTCCACCAAGGACAGGTCAGCCGCGCCCAGCCGGAGGGAAACGGCCGGAGAGGGTACCTGAGGGAGCCGCTGAAGAGGCAGGCGACGAAGAGTCCGGGCAGGCCTGACCAGTCCTTCAGGAGATCCATCACAAAATACAGGACAAACTGCGGGCAGAGCAGAAGCGCACAGGCCCCTGAGAGGGGAGCCCCTCCCCAGGGCGCACTGTGCGGGGAGCGCCAGGAAGAGGGGCCGAGTGCTGCAAGTGGCCCCACGGTGAGGAGGGGAAATGGGCTCTGGGAAGAGCACCCGGTTCGTCCCCCAGCTCCGAGGCGACTCGCAGTATGATCCGAGCGCGCTGGCCACCTCACTGAGCCTCTGTTCTCTATGGAAGGAGGCTGTTGGGAGGGTTTCATGGGACTAGGTGGTGCACACTGGTGAGTCAATGAAGGCAGGTCCCCACCCAGCAGGGTGAGAGCAATGTGATAAGGTGATGGTGGGGTGCTCAGGGCTAGGGTCCTCACATTTAGATCAACAGAATCCCAGCATGAAAAAAAATTTAAATCTACTTGCTCTCCCCCCGGGGTGGAAGTCCTTTCTGTAGCCACCCAGACACTCCTCTTAAGGGGCCCCGGTCAGCCCCTCCTGGGCACAGAAGGGGCCAGAAGGGCCTTCTCACCTGGTCGGGGGTTGCCTGACTCTGCTGTGTGCTCATGGGATACTCCTGGTAGTAGGCGTACATGACCAGGCCAATGAGGCAGCCCATGCAGAGGACCACCTGCTGGCAGGGGAAGACCGCATAGCAGGAGCTGCAAAAGAGGCCAGGGTCAGACGAGGGTGGGGCTTAACAGGTGCCCTCAGCATGTCCCTGAGCCCCAGAAAGCACACTCGCATCCTGACCCCAGTGGGGGGTGGGCGGTGCTCTGACATCCTGTCCGCACCCAAACTGCCTCTGTGGAACGGGGGCCCACTCCCTTACCCCGCCCTCGCTCCCCCATCTTCTTGTCCCCGCACTCACAGCACGGCAGCCTTCTCCGTGCGGGCGCTGAGGTAGCGCTGCACCTGAGCCTGGTTCACCCCGTACAAGGACAGCATCATGAAGACACCTCCGAAGGCCAAGGTCCAGAAAGTGTGCCGCACGAAAGGGTCTGGGTCTAGGCTGAAATAAACGCCACCTGGTCACTGGAGGGGCTGAGAAACTACTGATGGCAAGCACTGGGTGGACTCAAGAGACGGTGTAGCAGGTCGGAGGAAGGGTTTCATTTCTCCAACCCAGAGCTTCATTCCAGGCACCAAAAATTTCTGACCCTCCTTAACCATCAGCTGCCCCGCTGTGATCAGCCTCTGCAGCGCTGGCTTCCCACCCGTCTCATGCTGTGCCCAAGGCTTCCACGGCTTGCCTTCTCTTCACTCTAACCCCGAGCTCAGGCCCTAGGACAGGCTCGGCTCCTGAGCACTGGAGACCCCAGCCAGGGCAAGGGGCATACTTACTTGATCCCAGAGATGAGGCCGCGCCGGGAAGCCAAATCCCACACATGCCCCAAGCCGCCCACCCTGGCCGACCCCACGACGATGACCGCCAGCTGCCCTAGGAACATGACCAGTGTCTGGAAGACATCTGTCCAGATGACTGCTTTCAGCCCACCCTGTAAGAAAAAGAGCACGTCTGACACAAACGTCTTTAGAACCCTCCACCAGTGAGGACACGACACCGCCAGCAAGGGCACTGCATTACACTGCCGCCAGGGACACAGTTGCTGAATCCCTGCGGACAGCACCCCACCCCCTCCCTGAGCATCACAGGCCGCCCCCTCTCCTACATCTCGCCCTAGAATTTCACTCCACCGTCTCGCCTATCTTATCTCACTCATCCCTCCTTCCCCTTTCCTGCCATTCCACCTCCTTGCTCCCTCTGTTCCCCTCGTTCCCCACGACGTTCTGCACTCACCAGGGCGGTGTAGACGGTACAGACGATGCCCAGGGTCAGCACTGAGAGCCACAGATCAAAGCCGGTCACTGTGAAGAGACAAAAGTCACATTCCCGTATCTGGAAGAGGACTTCCCAGTGGGGAGGCCAAAGCAGCCCTGGTAAGACACAAAGCATTTGGTCCTTCAGGATGAAATAAACCATTCACCACAGTGGAAAACAATGTGCACAGAGCTCCACCAAAAGGTGGTGTTTAACCAGTTCAGACGGGGCCTGGTAATGTTTGATTAGCTTTCCAGTGAAGTGAAGCAAGCCTGCCCTCGTCTCTGGGGGAGACCAGCCAAGGGCCATGCGGTGAAATGATTCCTAGGCCAAGGTCCAGTTCCTTCCTGTACACTCCCCTCCACCCACCCCTCCAAAAGGTGCCTTCCCAGCCTGCTGGGGCTGGGAGCCAGGGGCTGAGCCTCACCTGCATTGAGGGCCAGCGACGGCGCATAGAGCACCACCCCCATGTAGATCACCTGTTGAGCACGGAAAGAGAACGTGAGCGGAAGAGGAGGTAACGGTGGGCAGACAGGGGAGAGAAGAGGGACCCCAGCTCCAATGTCCAACAGCCTCCTTTCACCTAGGCTTCCTCCCTTCTTCCAAATTTTGGCTCGCTGCCACCACAGCATCTGTGGAACTGGAAGGAACGGAAAGCAGGATGCTTCTGGACATATCCGTGACACTGACCGCTAGCAGGGATTTCAATCCTGCCAGTCTGAGAGCAGACAAGGCTCCGACTGCCTCAGCATGTCTGAGCGCAGGTCTCCTGCCGTGCCTCAGGCTCAGCTCCAGCCTCATTCCACTTACCATCTGAAAGATGAAGGTCAAGGTCCCACAAACTCGCACAGTTTTATTGAATCGGAGCTCCAGGTACTAAGTAGGAATATAAAACAACAACAACAAGGTATTTCTCCCCACCTCGCTCCACTCCCCACAATTCATACATAATTTCCTCAAGAGGTCTGGAAACATCGGAGACTATTCAATTCACATCCACTCTGGCCCCATTCAGCACAGGAGCCCCAAGCCGACCTCACCCGGAACGAACCATAAGCACTCGACCTGTCTGACGTTCAAAGTTCGTGTCTGATGTTCAAAGTTCGTGGGGATGTTGTGTCCCTGCCCCTCAGTGGGCGGAGGGAATCGGAGGGCCCAGCCCCCTCACATGTGCTCTCTTCCCCCTCTAGGCCTGAGCCTGAGGGTCCAGAGCGCCCCGCCCCTCCCCCCAGCTCACCTCGTAGGCACTGGTGAGGTGCAGGCGGTAGAAGACGGGGATGAAGACGTGTGCGGGGATCAGCAGCCCCAGGACATACGAGCAGCCCAGGAACCAGTACTGGGTCCCGTAGTGGTAGATCTCAGACGGCACGCCCAGGATGGCCACGGCCGACTGGAAGGTGGCCAGCAAGGACAGTGCCACGGGAAGGCAGCTCATTTTGCGGTTGGCCATCTGCAGCTGCCCGATGGTGTGCCGGCCCCAGCCACGACAGGCATGGTAGAGCCCGATGGCGAGGGAGAGAACCAGCAGCAGGATGAAGACCACGTAGTCCACAAGGGAGAAGGCAGGTTTTACCATGCTTGGGTCTGTGGCTGTGGGGAGGGGCGCGGGGGAGGTCACCCCCACATTCATGTCCTCTCTGTGTCTAGGACCTGTAGCCACTTGCTGCTCCTGGGTTCTGGGCTGCCACTTGGCTTGGCAATGGCAGGCAAGTGGCTACTACCTGGCTCTCAACCAAGTTTTCACAGTCCTTCTCCTCCACCAAGTGACACTGTCCAGGGTGACCTGCAAAGGGACCAGCCCCCAGTCAGGCCTATCCTGCCTTCACGGCCACCCACCCTCAGGCCTGCGCACCCCACACCCACCAGACTTGGCCCAGCCAGCTCGGCGGCAGACCTGGAAAGCCCGCAAGCCCTAGGAGCAACTTGGCAGGGAAAAAAGGAGGTAGGAAGCAGAAGAATGAAATAGGCAGGAGACAGCTACTTGGCCAACACCTTCTTGAACACGCAGAGCTATGAAATGTAAGACACTTCTTAGGTCCTGACCCCACAACAAAATAAGAGTCAACTGTAGCCCATGTTTCTTCGCAGACTGCCCCGCCCCCTCCTGCAGGCAAGAACCCAGTCACTACAGAGTACTGAGCCAGCAGAGCCCAAACTGGCGCCACAGCCCAGCGGGGAAGAAGAAAAGGAGACTAATAACAAAAGCATGGCTTCCTCCATTCCTCTCTTCCCCCAGCCTCAGCTCCCATGACTCCCAGTTTCACCGTGCTAATAGCTCCCCTTCTCAGCACTGATGCCTAATGGGATCACCTCCACGGCAGCCCCAAACTCTAGTCCAGGCATCCCCAGGTCAACCACTCCCTTCTCCCAACACGACTAGGTAAGCCCTGACACCTGCCTTTCAGCTGCTCTCCCAGTAATGCCAGTCACTAGCAGCTCTGGAAAGAGGGGTGGGACTCAACGGGAGAGGGGTTCCCCACACAAAATGCCCAGTGAAGCCACAGAAACCATCCTTGCTGCATAGCAGGAGCTGCCACAGCCCCAGGCCTGGAGCGCGGAGTCTGACAGCGATGTCTGATCAGTCCCAGAGCTCAAGGAACAAGATTCCACACCAGCAGCCACACAACAAGCTCAGCTGGTGGTGGCAGCTGAAATGGATGAAGATTCAGCCAGCGAAGCAAAACAGAGCTGGAGTGAAAAGGCACATGAGACTGTGTCTAAACTGGGTCTTCCACACGTTACCAGTAGAGTAGCTGAGAGGCAGGTGTCAGGGCTTACCTAGTTGTGTTGGGAGAAGGGAGTGGTTGACCTGGGGATGCCTGGACTGGAGTTTGGGGCTGCGGGGGAGGCGATCTCATAAGGTGTCAGTGCTGAGAAGGGGAGCTGTTAGCGCAGTGAAACTGGGGGTCGTGGTTAAAAATCTAAGAGTATCCTCTTTGTCATCACAAAACCAGACCTACAAGAGCCCAGCTTCAGATACCTACATAGTTTGGGGGGAAGCTAAGATTGAGGATTTACCTCAGCAGGCACAGTTTGCAGCTGCCGAGAAACTCAAAGTTCAAGGTTAAGTTGTCTCAAACATTCAAGAAAACACACAGATTCCAACTGTGCAAGAGGAAAGTGAAGAGGAAGAGACTGATGAAACAAGTATGAAAATTAAGGACATAAAATTGGTCATGTAACAAGCAACTGTATCCAGAGCTAAGGCAGCCCAAACCCTGAAGAACAGCAGTAATGATACTATAAATGCTACTTTGGGATTAACAATATAACCGCCTAAAAAACAAGGACCCTTTTCTGGGTGTTTCAAAAGACTAACTGCAGCTTTGCTTAAAATTTGTACTGTTTCTATCACTAATAAAGTTATGGCTTCTTGTGGGATATAAAAAAGGGGAGAGGGCAACATCCTGGAGCCAGAGGTTCAGAGTTAACACTTACGGGAACTTGGGGAGAAGCACACCAGCCAGGGAGCTAGGGCAAGAGGCACAACCAGGGCGAGTGGCCCTATCCTGCTGGGACAAACTCCTTACCGAGAGAAGCAATCCCTGCTCTGAGGCGGAGCTGCCTGGAGAGGCTGTGTGTCTGGGGCTGGCCAGAGACCGACAGCCTGGCTCCGTAAGTAGCTACAGTGAGACCAGGAGTTGGGGGCGGAGTGAAACTCAGAAGCTATTTGTTCTGGCCCCTTCAGGGAACCAATTGCTGTGCTCCAAATGGCCCTATCACCCTAGGGCCCCCAAACTCCAGCTCCAGAATGGGGAGCAGGGAGCTCACAGTCAACAACATTCCTGGATGGATTAGGCTTTCGTTCTAAGTCATACTTGACACTGTGTGCCAGAGGGAATTGGAGAGGAAGGGCTGAGAGAAGATGGGGAAGTTGCTCTTCTGACTCCCGCACAAGAAATACTAATCCTCAAAAGATATACCATTATCCTTAGAACAAGGACAAGGTCAGAGTATTATAAAACTAGGTATTGAGACAACACCCTCATTTACAAAGGACACAGAGACGTAGATGACTCATTGATCTTGTCAACACCACGGAGCTGATTATTGTCAAAGGCTAGATCAGAGCCCAGGTCTACTGATTTCCCCATCCATCCACTCTCCGTACTGTCTTCAGAAACCATCCTCTAGAGCAGCAATTTTCCATCTTTTTCATCTCATGGCACATATAAACTAATTACTACAATTCTGTGGCACACCAAAAAAATATATTTTTGCTGACCTGACGCCTGACCCCCCCCCAAAAAAAATACGTAGAAGTTTGATTCATTCACACCAGATGACTACTGCTGTGTTGACTGTTGTCATTTTTTTATTTGACAATCTGGAAAAGAGGTCAGTGCCCGTAACCAAAAGCCAGGGATTGCATGTTTTAAAAATTCTTGCGGCACACTGGTGTGCCTCTTGCAGCACACCAGTTGAAAACCACTGCCCTAGGGTACTTACTGGTATGAGGAAAAAAGAGAAGAGGACATTAATTTAGATGGCTTAACATGATGACAATTTAACATTTTTGAACACCTGCTATGTAACCCAGCAGCATGCTGTGTACATTACAGACATTACTAATAACTAATTATGATAAATAAAAAATAATTAAAATAAGTGAAGATATAACCATAGCTACCAATCTTGAACTACCATCAATTCAAGCTAGGTACTTTACACAAACATTCTCTAGGAAACTGATTTACAGAAGTCAAAGAATTTGCTGGAGGTCACACAGCACGAGACAAAACACAGGAGGAAGATACAGTCCTATCTGCAGGCAGAACAGGTTAGTCACCCAGGGCTCCATCCTCGCTATCCCCAGAACGAGGACAGAAGCAGAATGTTAACTGCAGTCAGTCATTCCTGGAGCTAAGCTTAAATTTCAACCAACGTAGTCACAGATCATTATAAGCTATGTCTTCTGTTCTTGTCCACTAGGAAACAGATACGCCTGGCTGTCTCCTGGCTCTCCCACACTGTCACTCTAGGCAGATGTTGTCTAGCTGGAATAATATGGCCTCACACAGATGAAACCTGAACTCTAAACCTCCTGGGGCCAATGAAAAGAGGACATAAAAGCTGGCGATTCTTGGATCACATGTGACAAATGTCAGTCCTCAGAACCACCTTCCCAGGAGGCCACTCTGGTTTAACCTAAAGATGCCCTGGGACTTTGTAAATTGTGACACCTCAAGTTTTCTCACTCCTCCAGCAAATTTTTTTTACTGCCATGACAGAGATGAGGGAAATTACTGGAATGTAAAAGATAGCTGCTGTGAGCAGATAAGAATGTGTAGTGATAAAAGATTAGTGATGAGGATGGGCAGGTAGTTAAAGAGAGATAAAGATTCCAGTATACTAAAACACAGACACAGAGAACTGGGAACTGCTAGGGTAAACCGGCAGGGTTCCCTGATGGAATTGTTTGTATGGGGTGTGGCAAATTCTTCCAGATGTTGAAGACAGCGATCTGGACAGGGCAGGAAAAACCTGACCCAGCAACAAAGTCTTAACCAGACATAATTCTAAGAACAGGTTAGTAGCTTTCTAAAACTCTACACTGATCTAAACCCTGTGGACTTGCATCTGAGAGGCCATGAACCAAAAGTAAGAGCTGAGTTGTTTCATTAAAATTGGAACAGCTGGTGTGGCTTGGTGGACTGAGTGCCAGCCTGTGAATGAAAAGATCGCCTGTTCGATTCCCAGTCAGGGCACATGGCTGGGTTGCAGGTCAGGTCCCCAGTAGGGGGCGCACAAAAAGCAACCACACACTGATGTTTCTGTCCCTCTCCTTCCCCCTCCTTTCCTCTCTCTCTGAAAATAAATAAATAAAATCTTTAAAAAAGAAAACTGGAATACACAGGGCACAAATGGGACCCTTTTCATATATATATATTTTTGTCTCTCGTGCGTCCCCAACCTGGGACCTGCTCACAGCCCAAGTATGTGGCCTACCTGGGAACTGAACCAGCGACCTTTGGGGTTTGCAGGCCCGTGCTCAATCGCCTGTCAGGGTGGGGCCCTTTTCAAATGCCTAAAACAAGAAAATTTCTCCCACTACCCCAGCCTAACTTCAGTCACAAACTTCACTGGAACCGCTTTGACTGCTACAAAAGGAAGGGGGCCACAGCAAGACAAAACGTCCCAAAAAATATTCCTTCAAAATCTGGTCTTGCGCCTAGAATTCCTCAAGGTCTGAAAGGCTTTGGGACCCCTCATTAAAATGCTAATTTTAATTTAAAACGTGATGCTAACTTTTAATTTCTAAAGCCTTCATACCCAGTCCCTCCAGGCACGGCTTCACTCACAATCGCCACCCTGCACCCTGCACCCTGCACCTTGGAAGACGGGACCAAGGCTCGCCTTCCCCTTACCTCCGTGGCTCTGGCAGGGCTAAGAAGGTCCCGTCGCTCTTTCTGAGATCAGCATGGCTCCGTTTCTCTGGGAAAGCAAAAGAGGTGAGGGGTTAGGGACGCATCTACCCTGGCCCTACCTCCTCGCCAGGGCTCCGCACGCCGCGTGGTCGGTCTCCGGACCGAGGTGAAGGGTATAGAGTGCCCAAGGCGTCCCCGGGCTCGTCCCCTCCCGCCGGGCTTTGCCCTTCGCCTTTCACTCCTCCATCACTCTCACCCTCCTTATTTCCTGGCTTCCCACCTTCCCTCCGCGTGCGAGGTGGCGGGAACACTATCACCTGGCCACCCGCACCAAGGATTTTCCCGGGCCCCTCAAGGTGGAGGACAGGCAAAACTCGCCCTTCTCCTCCTTGTCCCTCCCTCAGCTCCGAGGCGCAACTCCGGCGACTCTTTGTACCAGCCCACAACGTGCCGGCTCGCCCGGGTCCGGCCCACCTGCCAAGTCTCCACGTTTGGGTACGGCCGCCGCCGAAGAGCCCGGCCCACAGCACGCCGGCCGAGTGACAGCAGGGTCCCGCCCCCTGCCCGCCCCGCCATGTTTACTGAGGGCTGAAGGAGCAGCCCGGAGAGGCTGCGGAGACGCGACCTCGGCGTCCGACGCGAGGAACGCAGGGCTGAAAGAGCGGCGGCTGGCAGGCCTTCGCTAAAGAGGAAGAAAGAAACGGGTCTGCCAAGTTTCCTCCGACGAGGACTGGGCCGCACGGAGCATAGAGCTGACCCCGCGAGCAACAGCAACCCCGGCACCCAACATCCCCACCCCCGGCCTACTGGCCCGCGCCACTAGTCCACGCCCCCTGGGGGCGGAGCCACATGCGCTAGTCTCGCGAGCTGCTGAGAAGGACGAAGGGAGCAGAAAAATGTCCCCTCGCGGTCCTTGCAGTCCTTCGATCCCGCTACCCTGGGCTGCCGCCCTGCTCCTCGCTCTGGGCGTGGAAAGGGATCTGGCGCAACCCGAGGTACAGAAGCAAGTCAGAAGTCGGACTGAAGCAGAGGTGCTGGGCCAGCTGGTGTCGCGCTCGCCTGGTCTCGGCTCCCCGCAGCGGGACAGCACCTCTGATTTCGCCCTTGAGGCCTTCCCAGCCGTTTGGCCCAGCTGGCCCCCCGCTTACGATTACTCACTCTGCGCAGGTTTCCCTGCGTCCTAGCCCCAGCCCACGTCCATTTGCACTCTGACCTCCTCGCTCCTTAATCTTTGAAGAACTAAGTTTTTTCTACAAAAAAGTCTTTTGACTCTTCTCAGTCTCTCCAGGCACGAAAGTCGTATGTCGTACGGTGTCAGGACTGTACTTCTGTAATGCTTGATGAGTTCTTTGTGTACCTGCAGTCCTTTTACATCCGGACGAACCAGGGCTGTCAGATTGAGAAAGTCACTGGAGAGAACGTAATATTATGTGTTCGGGTAGTAATCCTCAAAGATGAGGGCCTTCCTTGGACGTAGTCTGGTGCGCTAATTTAGCGCCTGGGAAGAAATGCATCATCTAGTCAAACCTGATATAATGGTAGGACACTTCCCTTCTGTGTGTTAGAGGAATTCTGGAGAGGTGTACTGGCAGTTAAGTTTTGATTCCTGTTTGTTCCTGGCTCTGAAGTCCTAATAGTTTTGTTTCTTCTGCAGATCTGCGTCCGTTGCCCTGGGAGTGTGCGAAATTTGTCAGAAGTGGCCTCTTACTGTAAGCATACACCAGAGCTGAAGTTGCGAGCCCGCTGCTGCCTGAATCAGAAGGGCGCCATTCTGGGGTGAGGGAGGAAAAGGCATCCCTGGATAGTGGAAAAGAGTTCCCAACCTAGATTCATCAAGGCTTGCCTGATTGGCGTTTGGGATAAATATTTGTGCCTCTTTTGGAGGCATATTAACCAGGATTCTCAGTCTTTTAAATCTGTTATAGCATTTTTGACTGGGTCAACAGTTCTTTCTGGTTGAAATTACAAACAAGTTTTAATTTTTGCCTGTTTTACTTTAAAGGCTTTTATGGCTTTGCTTTTTAAAAGAGCTTTGTTTGTTTGTTTATTCCCATATCTTTTGATTGTTTACTGTGTGTCTCTGTGAAAAGACCCCGTAGCCTCCAGGACAGTATGCTAATGTGTGTTATTTTTTCCCTTTCTGATTAATTTATGTTTATTTCTGAGGCACATGCCTCTTCCTGTCCTCTTATCCAGGTTAGTCCTGCATTTTTTCCTTTTACCCTCTCGAGAATCCACGTAATTATTCCAGCTTTACCTTTACCCACCATGTAGGTGTCTACCAAAACTTGATCTCTTTTAGTATCGTTTTCCCTTTCTCCAAGCGATGTACCTCTAGCTTCCTGTTCACATCTCCTCTTGAGTGCACCCTCGCTTCAGACTCGAGATATCATGTCTTGTTTCCATTCCCTTCTTTCCCTAACCTACCTAAATACTTCTCTGTGTTAAACTTTCTGAAAACCAAATTTCTTCCATTATCACGCTGTGGCTTTAAAATTAGAATTCCAATTATTTGTCCACTCAAACCCTTTATGAGGGTCTGGCTTCGGTCTACCTCCGAAAGTATTGTACCTTTCTTTATTCAGGCTTCTCTCTTTACCTGAAACTGCCTTCCTCTACCACATAAAGTCATGTCCATTCTTTAACTGCAACATCTTTTGTGAATTTTCCTTACTACTAAATACCAGAGTAATATTTGTTTTACTTCCACTAATCCTTAGTGTCTACTGCTCAAATTTATTTGTATACTGTTTTGTGATTTCTTTCATATTATAATTTAATGTTTATATTGTTTTTACTTTTGGTGATCATGTTCCTCTACTACATTGTAAGCTTTTTGAAAGCTAAGATACTGAGGGGTTGTTTTGATACTCCAAATTTTTGCAGTTAGTAGGCACTCAATAAATATGTGTAGAATAAAGGAACAGACAGCAGTAGATACTGAAGAAAATAATGTGGCATGGTCCTTAATATCCAGTAGTTTATATCCAAACTGTGGTAGGAAATGCATTTGGAAAAAAACTTTCTTTTATGTGATTTGAATTTTTTTTTCCATTGGAAGGTCCTTTGTGAATCTGAGAATCATAGCATAATGTGAGATTCACTAATCCATACAACAAAGAAATTTCTTCCAATATGTGCACAGACACAAAGAACTTTCTACTGTGCTGGAAATGTTCCATATCTGTACTCTCCATAGCTGTTAACTACATGTTAGTAGTTCTTGGACATTTGAAATGTGGCTAATGCAAATGAGGGACTGAATGTTTTTCATTGAAATTAATTTAAATAGCTACATGTAGCTAGCTAGTGGTGACTGAATTGGACTGTGCCGAATTAAAACATCTACTACAGCACTTAGTTTGTGGTCCTGAACATAGCTGTTCAACTAATATTAGCAGAAAAGGGGTTGCATTAGCCTGTAGTGGTTAAAGAGGAGAGACACAAAGTTACACTGCTTACCTTATTTCCTCAGGCTGGATCTCCAGAACTGTTCTCTGAAGGACCCTGGTCCAAACTTTTCTCAGGCACATACTGCTGTCATCATGTAAGTGGTTATTTTCCCTATCAAAACATGGCTGTGGCGAAGGGTTGATGGGAAAGTCTTTGAGGATGCATTCCTAAAAAGATGTTGGAATGCTGATGTCTAAACTTGGACAACTCAGAATGAGAACTGGAATACCGGTCCAGGAAGATGCGTGAATGGCGGTAGGATGTTTTCCTAAAGCACAATGCTAACGGTGTGTGCTTTTCAGAGACCTGCAAGCAAACCCCCTCAAGGATGACTTGGCCAACGCCTTCCGTGGCTTTACCCAGCTCCAGACGCTGTGAGTAAGGGTATGGGTTTGAGGAGAAAATCAAAGGTAGGCGGTGCTGTGAGCTCAGCAACTTTGGGTTGCATAGTAAGACTGCCTGTGTTGTGTTCAGGATACTACCACAAGATGTCAACTGTCCTGGAGGTATTAATGCCTGGAATGTTGTCACGTCTTACCCAAACTATCAAACCTGCCAAGGGCAAAGGGACTTTTGCAATAGCACTGGGGATGCAGGTATGCTGTTTCACCTCCACCCTTTTGGGACCCCTTTCCGCCTTTGTTTTGTTTTGGGGTGTTTTTTTTTAATTTAAATTCTTTTTTTTAATCTTTAAAAATTTTTATTGATTTGCGGGAAGAGAAAGGAGGGGAGAGAGAAACATTGATGTGTTGTCCCATGTATTTCTGAATTCATTGGTTGTTTCTTGTATGTGTCCTCACCAGGGATTGAACCTGCAACCTTGGCATATCTGCATGACACTCTAACCAACTGAACTACCCTGTGGGGCTATGCCTTTCTTCCTTTATATTCTCCCCATTAGCTAAGAAAGACAGTAAAATTGCTTACACACCTTTTGTGTAGGTTTTTGAGGCTCTAACCGCTTGGAAAGAAAAGGTCTTGAAATATTATTTATGCTCTGAACATCTGTAGTCTTCTTTCCTTTGACATAGAAACAATTGAGAGAATTCAAAGCAGATATTTGAGAAATGTCTAATGAGATCTAGGGATGTTCTGTTTTTCTCTGACTCCCAGAAATATGTCCTGAGAATGGATCTTGTGTGCCTGATGGTCCAGGCCTTTTGCAGTGTATTTGTGTCGATGGTTTCCATGGCTACAAGTGTATGCGCCAGGTGAGAAATTAAACCTTCTAATTAGGGTTAAGAGAAATGCATAGAGCAAAAACCTCCCAGAAAGAAGAGCAGAAAGACCAGGAGCTGATGCAAATCACCTAGTGAAGGAAACTAAGAGAATTGCCCTGCATGAGGGGATGGATATACTAGGAAAGAACTGGGTGTTAGGATGTGGCCCTTGGTGTAACCCTGTATGAGGAATTTTTTTTTAATCCTTTTATTCCCAGGGCTCGTTCTCGCTGCTTATGTTCTTTGGGATCCTGGGATCCACCACATTATCCATCTCCATCCTGCTTTGGGGGACCCAACGCCGAAAAGCCAAGGCTTCATGAACCACATATGTCTTGCTGCTGACCTAAAGAACGTCCCAATCTATCTTAGCCCAGCCAGGCACATTTGCTTCCGACACGGACTGGCCAGAGGGTCCTCCTTGAGGCTGAGGCCGAGGTTGGAAGGAAGATGGAACATCGCACAGTGCTGGAGAATTATACTCCAACCCGAGAGTGGACTAGTACCAGTTCCCTTTTGTGCTGTTAACTGTAATAAACTTTTTTTTTATTTTTAGGGAAGGTGCCCTGACTTTGTGTGTTTCTTGGTTGGGGTGGGAGAGACTCCTCGGGGGGTATCGGCTTTGTATCACCGGTTTCTCCCTGGGAAGAAGGGCGCCGGTAACTCCGTCTGCGCCCTCGCACCGCCCCTTACGCTTCAGCCCCGCCCTCCACGTCCCCTGCTTCCCGCGCCGCCGCAGTCTGCCCGCCACCCAGCCTGCCTAGGCCTTCTGCGCTTTCCGCTGCCTACTCGGGCGCTCGGGGCCGCTAGCCACGTGTACCGATCTGGGCTCACGGTCCACGTGGTTCCATCAAAGGCAGAAACTTGCTGCGCTTCCAGCTCTATTTTCCCACGTCTCTGAGCTCCGTTCCCATGGCGACCCTGGTGTTGGAGGATGGGCTGGTCCTGCGGGGCCAGGCCTTTGGGGCCGCTGTGTCGACTGCCGGAGAAGTGGGTAAGCAAGCCCGGTCCGGCTGCCGACCCCATCCCAATCTCTGCTGGCCCTGTCTGCCCAGCCTGCCCTGTCCAGACCCCGCCATTTTCCCGCCTGCACAATCCCCCGCCCCCTCCCCCCAGCCTTTCGGCTCCCAAGTCCCCAACCCAGCCCTTTCAATCTCTCACAGCTCAGGCAGCCTCCACTGGGGCATTTTCATCGTGTGGGCCGGTGATGTATGAAGGGAGCCCTGCCTGAGCCCCAGGCCTGCCTCTTTCTTGCAGTGTTTCAAACCGGCATGGTCGGCTACCCCGAGGCTCTCACTGATCCCTCCTACAAATCGCAGATCTTAGTGCTGACATATCCTCTGATCGGCAACTATGGCATCCCCGCAGATGAAGTGGATGAGTTCGGTCTCAGCAAGGTAGCCACACCCGATGCGCTCTCTATCTGTGTTCCTTATCAAATTAGTAATTATTAACTGTTCATGGAGTGAAAACGTCGACATTCTGCTAGGCACCCTGGAGTGGACAGAGATACCAAAGTGATAAAATAAGTGCTGGGCCGGGCTTGTTAAGTACCCTGAGCAGCACAGCCGCCCGAGCCTGCGCCTCGGTTAGGAACCAATGACAAAAAAAAAAAAAAAAAAAAAGGAAGCAGTTAAGATTTTTTAGCAGCAGAGTCCTGTGAAGGGAGCTGCTCCCTTCACAGATTACATAGATCACATAGATCAATGGGAAAGAGACTGGAAACTAGGGTCACACCCTCTCCAGTGACAGCAGGTCCCAGTTCAAACCAATGAAATTGATGATTATTTTCTAAACCTACTTTCCTTACCTTGCCTCGTTTTCTCCCACTTGTCAGTAGAGTTCTTACATCTAGGTAAGAAAACTCAGCTTTTTCCCAGTGAGGTTTCCCATATCCCTCCTCTCCTGGAATTTGCAAATTAAGTTGTCCTCTGAGAGTTCAGGCAATAATAAAAAGAATAAAGAAACACAAGTTAAGAGGGGAAGTCACCATAGCCTAGATGCAGGTTTTCTCAATCTTGTTTTGTCCTGATTCCAGGCTCACTAGTCCTTCATTACGAGTTTGCCTTCCACATGGGAGAGGAAACTCTAGGTGAGGGACACACGTGTTACTCCTGGAAAGTACCATTCCTCATCACAAACCTATGAATACACGGCATTCTAGTTTATAATGCAGTAACTTGGTCAGCGTTTATTGATCTCCAGCTTTGTTAACTGGAAACACTGACAAAATTGGTTTAATAAACCTGGAGAATCGAGGCCCTGATAGAACTAGGGTAAGGCCTCCTAGAGCCACCAGCCCACCACGGATGCTTTCGTGGCTCCTATGTTGTAAACACACTTGTCCATGTGCACAGAGTCCTAGACACAGAGGGTTCTACCAACCTGTTCTTCCAATCCCTAAATAACAGTCTCAATATCCACCTTTCTTTAAATCTTCCATGCAGCAGGTGTAATAGAATATGTCACTCCCTCCCACATAAGTGACCTGTTTCTCTGTTTGGTTATTAAGTGCTTATCTGTTGGATGACAAATTTGTGTTACCTTTTCAAACTTCCCCTATGAAGGGGAAGGGTATAATCATCCCTGGTATTATTCTATGAACCTTTATTTTTATGTAGTAAACTATTGTGCATCTACCTGTCATACACTGTTTCTATCACACTCTGTAATAATGATCTTGTTTATTTACATGTTACCTTGTTAATTTTCATGCTCCCTAAGTAACATAACAAATTAACACTGTGACTGTTAAGGACCTTGTCTTTTTTCATGCTCACTGTTTCTTTCCCAGCACTCAGTAAATGTCTATTGACTGCTACCAAGTATCAGTCACCTTGATCTTGAGGCGCTCATAGTTTTGTGAGGAAGACGTAAAGGCATTCATACTACCATGTAAATAGCAAGAACAATGGAAAGGAAGTGAGCTTAGGAGAGCTCTGAGGAGGAGGCACAAGCTGCAGTGGGGTGAGGGGGGTGGCTTCACAGAAGGGGGTTTGTGATCTCAGTTTTGGATAAAAGAAAAGGAAGGAGAAAGGAAGATTAATTAACAATCAGGCACCCTGGGCCCATGTGTTCAGTGTTTCGTGTCGGGGGCAGCACTGCTGGTAAAGGGCAAAAGCATGAGGTGCTTGGTGTGTTTAAGGAGCAACGATTCAGTGTGGCCGATGTACCAGACAGGGGTCCGTGCCATGCAAGGGCAAGATGACATAGGAAGATATACGGCCCTAGGCTACTCACAGTCTCTTCCTTCCATCAACAGTGGTTCGAATCCTCGGGGATCCATGTGGCAGGATTGGTGGTGGGAGAGTGTTGCCCCACACCCAGCCACTGGAGTGCCAGCCGCACTCTGCACGAGTGGCTGCAGCAGCATGGCATACCTGGCCTGCAAGGTACGGTGCGGACACCAGTGTGTTTGGGCAGAGCTCGGGTGCCTGGATGGAAAGAGTCAAGAGCACATCTCTGTGCCCTATTGGGACTTGACTCCAAGGCTGTGAAAAAACGAACCTGATTTGAAGGTTTAGATTGGGGTCTGGGGCAAGGAACTGAGCTCTTGCTCATGGGGGAAGTTTGAAACATACAGAAGGAGAGAAATACATAATGAACCCCCAGCTTCTTTAGCCACCGACTCAGGGCTAAACTTACTATATCACCACTACTATAACCCACAGATTATTTTGAAGCAAATCTCACACATTGTGTCATTTCATCCACAAATAGTTAAATAGTTATGAAAAAAGAAATCCTTTAAAAATGTGGCTACAAGCCCTGGCTAGCGTGGTTCAGACTGGGCACCAGTATGCGAATCGAAAGGTCGCTGGTTTGATTCCCAGCCAGGGCACATGCCTGGGTTGCAGGCCAGGTTCCCAGCTGGGGCTGTGTGAGAGGCAACCATGTCTCTCTCACACATTGATATTTCTCTCCCTTTCTTTCTCCCTCCTCTTCTCTCTAAAAAAGTAAATAAATAAAATCTTTTTTAAAAACAACAAAAACATGACCAAATAACATCATACCTTTTTAAAAAAATTATTATTTTTAGAGAGAGGGGAAGGGAAGGAGAAAGAGAGAGAAACACTGATCGGTTGCCTCTCACACCCCCAGCCAGGGACCCGGCCTGGAGCCCAGGCCTGTGCCCTGACCAGGAATCTAACTGTCCGTTTGCAGGATGGCACCCAACCCACTGAGCCACACCAGTCAGGGCAACATCATACATTTAAAAAAATTAACAGTAATTCCTTAATTAATATCATTAAATGTCCAAGCAGGGTTTAACATTTTCCCAGTTATCTTAATTTTTTTTAATGGTTTATTTGAATCTGGATCTAAACATCCATATATTACATTTAGTTATATCTTTTTAATCTATGGGCCTTGTAACCTATTTGACAAAAACAGGTCAGTTTTTCTTTTCAGTGTTATTTAGTATGTTTTTTTTTTTTTTTTTTAAGATTTGATTTATTTATTTTTAGAGTGGGAGGGAGGGAGAAAGAGGGAGAGAAGCATCAATGTGTGGTTACCTCTCATGCACCCCCAGTTGGGGACCTGGCCTGCAACCCAGGCATGTGCCCTGACTAGGACTTGAACTGATGACCCTCTGGTTTGCAGGCTGGCTCTCAGTCCACTGAGCCACACCAGCCAGGGCAGCATGTTCTTTCTCTAAACCGATAGATCTAGAGTCATGGTACAATTCGGGTGTGATATTGTTGGCGAGCGTACCTGAGCGTAGTGCCCTTTCATCAGGGTGGCCCAGGACTTGGATGCCCAGGGAACAGCTGTGTGTGGCTGAGGGCTGTGGGACGGAAGTGCTCCTCACCGTCTTACCCTCCCGTGCGACGGGGTCGGGGAGCGCGATCTCTCAGCGCGTGCTGTTTCAACAGGAGTGGACACTCGGGAGCTGACTAAGAAGTTGCGAGAACAAGGGTCTCTGCTGGGAAAGCTGGTGCAGGATGGGACAGAGCCTTTATCCCTGTCATTTGTGGACCCCAACGCCCGCCCCCTGGTGCCAGAGGTCTCCATTGAGGTACAGAAGCAGCGCGGTGGTTACAGTCTGCCCATAACCGGGGAGGACACTTGAGGGAGACTCAGAAGAGGCCACCAAAGGTGAGGGTTGGTGTGTGCGTGTCTGTCCCCACGGATCGCCGCGGCCAGCTGTTGCCCTTTATTTCCCAGGCGCCACGGGTATTCAATGCAGGGGGTACCCCTCGGATCCTTGCTTTGGACTGCGGCCTCAAGTATAATCAGATCCGATGCTTGTGCCGGCGCGGGGCTGAGGTCACAGTGGTGCCCTGGAACCACGCGCTGGACAGCCAGGGTGAGTGGCCGGGGCCTCTCCTCTGTAGGGCCCCAGACAAACAGCACGGGTGGAAGGTCCGTCGTCCCTTGGTGTAATCGCTGGAAGTCAGCGTGAGTCTCGGTGAAAACATGGAGATGGGGCCTTTGCTCACATGGTGAGGGCTTCACATGTGTCTCTAGCGGAAGACTGGTTTCCATGTCCTCTTCTCTGCCCATTCCAGAATATGAGGGCCTCTTCCTGAGTAACGGCCCCGGCGACCCCGCCGCC